CAATTTGTTATCAATCGCTTCATTGGGAGTAATCTTCTTTGGATTAAACTCTTCGTTCGGTTTATGAGTCAAACGATGTCTACTGAGGTTCCAAACAGACGATGTCTTATAGCGACAGCCGTTTTGTTGGCAAACAAATTTTGCATTTGTTTTATGATATCTCATATGCTTTTGGAGTAACAACTTTCGACCAAAGTTTTTGTCGCAGTTCTTGAAATTACACGAAAACCTGAGACCCGTGTGGACTGTTTGGTGATCCTTAAGACTCTGATCGTATATTGTCTTATAGTGACAGCCATTGTGTGGGCATTCAAGCACTTCGCTTGTATGAGATCTCATGTGTTCAGTGAGACTACATTTCTGAAGATAGCTTTTGTGGCAGTTCTTGAAACGACACGAATATCTGAAACCCGAGTGAAACATCTTATGTCTCCTAAGATTATAGCGTTGTGTATAGGATTTGTCACATCCCTTGTGGTCGCAGACATACAGACTCTGCCCGTTATTACCAATCATTTTATGGCATTTGGTGTCCAATACGTTATCTATCACTTCATTGGGAGTAATGTTCTTTGGATTAAACTCTTCGTTCGGTTTATGAGTCAAACGATGCCAATTGAGGTTTCTAACCAATGATGTCTTATACTGGCAACCATTGTGTCCACAAACTAACCGTCTATTTAGTTTTGATTTATGAGATCTCATATGCTTTTGAAGTAACAACTTTCGACCAAAGCTTTTGCCACAGTTTCTGACATTACACGAAAACTTGAGACCCGAGTGAGACTTCTTGTGTCTCCTAAGACTATCCCTTTTGGGATATGATTTGTCACATCCCTTGTAGTCGCAGACATACCGGCCGTTAGTTTTTCTCACTTTAGCTGTGGGTTCATAATCGGTGTCCGACTTTATAAACTCATCGCTGGGTTTGTGAGTTAAACGATGTTTGTTGGGACTATTAGTGAGTGTTGTCTTAAACTCGCTGCCATTGTGTCCGCGTATTAACAAAGGATCCATGTTATGAGATCTTATCATATGTCTTCTCATGTCTCCCTTGTAGGTATAGCTTTTGTCGCATTTCTTGTAATTACACCAATATCTAAGACCCAAATGAGACATCCGGTGGTCATTAAGTCTAGGGAGTCGTGGGTATGACTTCAGGCACCCCTTATGGTCGCAGAGGAATTGTCCTCCAATTTTGGTCACTTCATTGATATTCAATTTATGAAATAACGGCTCATCAATAGTAATGTCTTTGCTTTCTGTTTGAACATCACTTTCATTGGACACGAGTTTTCGTTTTCTGGCATTTGTTTCGTTATTATTGTCTGATTTACTCATCAAATCGCTGTCTATTTGACTCCCATTTGAAACACTTTTCTCCGTTTTGTTGGGATTAGTGTCGGAATCGCTGGAAATCACTTGCAATTGATTCGTGTCTTCAGTCGTGTCATCACTTCTTTGTCGCAAAACTAATGATCAAACAATTTATAGATTAAAAAAATATACTTATTTTAAAACACGTTTTGATTACTTTTTGTTTGATTGCTATCCAAACGGCTTAAAGAAATGAAACAATTCTTGGCTTTAATTGCATTGAAATTCTTGATCTGTTTTGTGAACTCATCATTGATTTGAATGTTTTGCAAACTATTCAAATGTTTTTCGTATTTATTTAATAGCAATTGAAATGTGAATAAATCGCTTTTCAAACAATTGTTTTCTCGTCTCAATTCACATATAATTAAATACAACTCATTGCGAGTTAATTGCCATAAATCAGCACTTTTTGCACTCATTTTGCTAAACATTTAACACATTTACTATAAAAACATTTTATGAAACATACTTTTAATTGAAATGAAATTTAATTTGGTGCACAAATTTAACACAAAAACAATTTAAATGTTAGAAAATTGCTTTCTTAACATTAGGATTAAGCATTTAATGCATGCTTTGAGACCACATTTTGGTAATCCGTAAACACATGACTATTTATAGACTGCTGTTTTACGGTACAGTTCAGTGCTTCAAAGTCTGTATCATGGTAATCTTATAACTACAATACTGTATAAAGTCCAATAATCAGACAGATTGTTGATTTTAGATATAATTTACTCAGACCTTGATTATCAATTTCCTGAATTTCAAACAAATTTTTATAAAAACAACACTTTCCAGGATAATTTTCTTAATATAGTAATAATTTATTGTAAAGTTTAAAAATAGTAAAACATTTCCATTATTAATACTTTTAGTTTAAATTGTGAAATAAAAATCATTTATAATAAAATTCATAATGCTTATAAATTAAAAATAATTGTACGAATAATAAATGAATTAATAAAATAAATTTTATTACAGATTAAATACACACAAAATGCATGAAACATTTTAGGTTTCATATACTTTCCCGATTTGTCTCATCACTAGAATAGCAATCAATGTCTATATTAATGCTTAAACTTCTTTGGCTTTCATTTGCTTCAACCAAATGTGTATCAAATGTCACATCATTTCTATTCATGCCTTCAATCGCTTGAGAAGTGCTTTCATTTTCAACCAATTCTTCGCTCAAAACTCTCGAGTTATCCAAACGTGAGGACTGATTGTCATTCAAGTTATGGCTACTTATATGCGATTCAAACTGACTCTCAATAGCTGTGGCGTAACCACAGTCCCGGTGTTCGCACCGGTATTTCAGGTGATGTCCGGACAGATGTCGGCGAAGATGACCGGCGGTCGAAAACACTGCGGAACAGCCCTCCCGATCGCACCGGTGGCTCACAACTGAATGCGATTTCTTATGTATTCTTAAGTGGAGTTCATTTGTGAAACTCTTTCCGCAACCAAACCATTGGCACAGAAACTGCTGTTTTCGCGAGTTTTCTGATCCACCACTCGATGGTTGGCTACCAATAAACCACTTCTTCAGATTAAACGCGGACTTCTCTTTGGGTTTATGAGTCAATCCATGATTTATCAGAGATGTAGAGTAAATTGTCTTAAACTTACAGCCATTCTGTCCACAAACCAACAATTCTTTCGGATTATGAGACCTCACGTGTTCATAGAGTGAATACCTGTGGGCATAGCTTTTCTCACAGTTCTTGACATTACAAGTAAATCTGAGACCCAAATGAGACATCCGGTGCTCTTTAAGCTTATTCTTGTGTAAATAGGATTTGTCACATCCCTTGTGGTCGCATACATAGCGGCCGTTAATTTTTCTGGCTTTAGCTGTCGGTTCATAATCGGTGACAGACTTCTTAGCCATCGATTCATCGCATTCTTCTGTTACTGTTTTGACATCACTTTTATTGGACACGAGTTTCCGTTTTCTGACATTTGTTTGACATTTAGTGTCGGAATCGCTGGAAATCACTTGTAAATGATTTGTGTCTTCATTCGTGTCATTACTTATTTGCTGTAAAACTAGAAAATAAATAAAATTATTAATTAAATTATACTGATTTTAAAACACGTTTGGATTACCTTTTGTTTGATTGCTATCCAAACGAGATTTTGTGTTATGATATCTCAGGTGCATATTCCGTCTATATTTTCGACTAAAACTTTTGCCACAGTTTTGGACATTACACCAGAATCTGAGACCCGTGTGAGACTTCTTGTGTCTCATAAGATTCTCGCGTTGGGTATAGGATTTGTGACATCCCTTATGGTCGCAGACATACCTGCCGTCAGCTGTTCTCATGGCAGGTGTCGGTTCATAATCCCTGTCCGCCTCTCCGGTCATTGATTCATTGTTTCCTTCATTTTATGGTTAATAAAACAATTTATAGATTAGGTAATTATATTCACATTATTAAACAAGTTTTGATTACCTTTTGTATGATAGCTATTCAAACGGTTTAGAAAAATGAAACAACTTTTGGATTTAATTGCATTGAAATTCTTGATCTGTTTTGTGAACTCATCTTTGAATTGAATACTTTGCAAACTATTAAACAGTTTTTCGTATGAATTTAAGTGCAATTGAAATGTAAATAAATCAGTTTTCAAACAATTGTTTTCTCGTCTCAATTCACATATAATTAAATACAAATCATTGCGAGTTAATTGCCATAAATCAGTAGATTTTGAACTCATTTTGCAAAACATTTTACACATTTACTGCTAAAATTAAAATAACTTTACAGCACTGTTAAAACATTTTATTAAAACACTTTTTAATAGAAATGAAAATAATTATGTTCACAAAACATAAGTATACAATTAATTGGATGTTTGCATTACAGATACTGTATGAAATATATTTTCTTATAATATTTAAAATTAATATCTTAACCCATATGTTGAGATCACATTTGGACTTTAATCTGTAAACACATTACTATTAATAGAAACAGTATTTATAGCTATAAAGTCCACCAAAAACTAGCCATAAACTAGTTATTGGTCTGAATTTCAAACTTTGAAATACTACTCTTTTCCCAAAACTTGTTTTAAACAATTCCCTGAATTTTAAAGTAAGCATTTATTGCAGTAGAATATAAACAAGGCAATTTCGTAAGTAATAATTTATTACTATTTTATATAAAAGTCATATTAAAGTTTAGAATAAATATTAAAAACATTTACATTATTAATACAATTAAGTTTTAATTGTGTAATAATAAAATAGCGTTTCATTTGCGATACAATTCATATAAAAACTTATTAATTAAAAACAATTAGATAGATGGATTAATAAAAAAAATTACATATCAAACAGGGTTAGCCAACACTTTTAAAACAAATGTAAGCAAAAACTTTTCGTATATTAAAAACATCGCTTCAAACAAAACACTGATTGGTTTCATATGTTTCCCGACTTAAGCCTCAATTTGCGAAGATATTGATCCAACTGTTCCTCGTATTCGCACTGATGGTCGCGATAGTGGAGCACATGAGTGGACTGTTGCCAGCACTTGGTCTGCACGGGTATGCCCTGCGATCGCCACGAGTCGGACAGTCGCTCATTACGGGTCCGTTCGCTCACCACATCATCGCATGAATACAATAACAGACCTAAAAAGTGGACCAAAACGTCGTTATCGTAACAAACACTTTGAAAACACCGGCCCTTTCGAGGGGGCCTGGAGTTCAGTGACATATATATACAATACCGGGTAATCTCAATGGGTTGGCGAAGATCTGGTCAGACGAGCGCCGGTAGTTATCCATCGACACCGGGCGGGTGAGCGTTACCCAGCCCTTGATGGCCGCCTCAAGCAATGGCTGTACAATGGGGTTAGTGGTGACAGCCCTCGACAGCCCGGGCGCGCAGTCCTCTGCGTGAACCATGGAGTCAATGATAATGCCTTTGAACGCCGAGCTCAGGTCCCGGTGCCTGGAACTGGATGTCAACTTCAGCAACACCTCCCCGTACTGATAGCCGCCCACCGAGAAGGCGTGGACCACAATCTCCTCATACTTGGGCTGTATGTCCGACAGATAACGGACCAGATTGGCGGCCACCACACGGCCCCCGATGGGCGGCAACAGTAGTTCCACGGGTGAGGTCTTGACGGTGAGGACGTCGAACCCCCGGCGAAACCATAGCTGCCGATACTTCTCCAGGTGCTTGTCCTGGGCCAGCATCCAGGCCAATATGATGGCCAACGGGCGCCGGGAGGTCGTGGCAGACGTACTGATAGTAGAGGTGGTGGTGAGCGAGCCGTCCAACGCCGTGTCGACGCTATTGTCCATCAGTGTTATGGTGGGAATCGGGGAACAGTAGCGCAGAGACATGTTCTTCGGCGATGAGATCCCTGTCCTGACATTAGTCTTAGGGCCGGTAGCTATGTATGGCTTTAAGGTTAAGACATGTTTAATAATAGTCTAAAAAGTTTTGAAACAACTATTTTTGAAATGAGTGTTCAATTCACACCTGATTTGCGATACTTCTAGTGAAGGATAACCGGCTGTCACTCGCGGGCTGACCACCATTTGCGGCCAAAACAGCTCTGAGTGATAATAAGCGACTGTTTTGGCCGACAATCAACTTCTTGACCACCGATGAAGTCAACATCATATCTGTGGACACAATTCAATGAGTGGTTATATAA